TATATTCCATGACGAGCGCCTGGTGGCGAAGTAGCTAGCGCATTGTGCAACTGCACCACAGGTTTTGGGTTCGATCCTCGGGCTGGGCAAGGTCTGCAAATCCTTACAGAAGTATTCTTCTGTAAGGAGGTGTTGGCAAGGTTGACTCAGCCTTTCATCCCTTAAGTGGGTCGATAAAATGAATACCAAGTTCACTTGGGAACTAAACATTGGGGGTCCTCCGACAAGCTGACCACTTGCCCAAGACATATGCTGATGCACACCGGTGCCTAAAGTCAAGAAAGCAAATTTCGGGGCACTGCTGGCCGTGGCTCACTAGGACTGTTGTGCCACTGGCTTCAGTTTAGTTTTATAGTCTGTGACAATGGAAGCATCCAATGAGTCACTGTCTAAATCCTGTCCGAGTGTCACGACTTCTACTCAGATTGTATCCATTTGAAAATCAAAGCTGCAAAAAATCATTACCACAGTGAGGCAAAACATACTTCCCAATGCTTCTCATATTACTTTCCTTCACTTCATTCCATGCATGCCAGATATTTTCAATAGCATTTCGGATAGTGTAATTTTTCCAAAATGTAATCAAAGATAGGGTGTTTTCACTAGAGGTTGCTTTGATTGCTTGTGAAGCGTCCTTCTCAAATAAAAAGCCTTAAATATTGAAGTAATCCCTTGAACCGCATGGTTTGTAGTATTCCCGCGGAAGAAATGAATTCTGACACTATTATAAAAAGATTAGGAAGTCCAGTAAGATGACCTGGCGCATTATCTAATAACGATAAAGCTTTTTAAAAACAATAATGCTTTTAAAAGATCATGCGCATCACGAATTAGCACCATTCATTTTAGCAGTGCGTACTTTAACCGTAACATTTAGGCTCTGTTTTGGCGCAAAACTTTCCCGAATTGAACAATAGTGAATCAATTAGTACTGAGTGAAATTTATTACTGTAAAGGCCCTTATTTTCACGAAAATGAATATATCAGTGATTTCGCAAATTTTATATGATCAGAACCGAAAGTTGAAAAATTTCAAAAGTACATCTTTTGCATAAAGCATTTTAAGAAACTTCCTTTTTGTCCGAAAAGTTCATTCCTCCCCTGTTCCCGTCTAAATGGCAAGTTCAAGCGTTTGCTTAAGAATGAGTTTGTTAAGTGGTATTCTAATGAGCTTCAATTTCTAGAGAAAAAAAAAATCTGTAGACTTTGGGAATATCACGACTAAATCCGATTCATGCTTCTTGGCTTGTGCGCGTATTTAACAGTACTGAAGCCAAACATGAGATAATTTTGAATGGCTTCAAAGAAGCTGGTATAAATAGTATTCTAGGTGAGCGAGCTGCCTTCTATTAATTTTATTGTTTTACATTAAAAAAAATATAGTTGTATATGATCCAAAAAATAGTTATAAGAAAGAAAATTGTCCAAAAAAAATAAATAAAAAAGCTTGTAACTGTGCAATAAATCATTAAATTTTGGGTAAGTTAAAAATTTCTGATTATTATTTGAGGCGAAAAAAAAAGTATTTCGCGAGGCTTAAATTTTCATGATTACGACGGGCTTGCGAAAATCGCAAAAATTAAAGCCTCACGAAAAAAAGGGCCTTTACAGTATTCAAATTGCTAACTGTATTATAGCGAGGTCAAGACTGAGTGAAACTGCACTACGCGAGGTATACCTGTATTGCGTTTTGGTCTTTAGAACTGCAATTAGATGCTGGTAAATATCTAATACTAGGAAACTTTTTCGAAGTCTACTCAATAGGTGGAATATTTGAAAGAAAATAATTGCCACTTGATTTTTCTTAAATATTTATGCAAGCTTACTTCCCATCTTCAAGACTGTTGCTTGAATAGATCCCCCCTTGATAAGAACACAGTAATTTGGGAAAGGCGTTACGCTTGGCACTTAGCCTCTTGAGTAGTGCTACTCCATTCTACAAACTGGTTTAAAAATATCTGGCAGAAATGTGAAAGCAGATCGAGGGGACTGAAGCACATATTGCCATGCAAATTGCATGTTGAAATGGCACGTTTGAGATAGTACAACAGATTGTTGATAGATAGAAAAAAGGATTCCGCTGATGTAAGTCCTCATTCCCCAAGCAGATTTCGAACAGTATGCATTAATATACAGGTGGAAAAGAAGCAGTTGCCCAAATTAGGCACTTAGCAATCATTCTCTATACCTCATTTGTGTAGCTGTTCTGTTTCAGCCTCAGCTTCATAAATAAAATGCATCTACTGAACTCCCCATTTGTTTATCGATGCACATTGTTCACAGTTCGCACAAGAAATGATGATTTACATCAGTAGAAGGGCGTTCAACAGAAGGACTTTACCAACCGTTCAGCAGCGCCCTGTAAAACCTACAGTCATTATTTCTATACATACATTCAATCACAAAATCTGCTTGTTTCGGTTTCCTCTATCTATCTTTACACTTGTGACAAATGGTTTTGAATCATCCTGTATGTATGATGCACATACTTGAAATATGAAAATCAGGAAACTAAAAATAAATTATGTATATATTATATGGGAGTTCTCATGCTTGAAGTGTAGTTTAGGGTATTACCCCAAAATAAAAGTGGGGACTATTTCAACCGTTTCATTTCTAAGAGATACCCAGATAAATTACGCATAATTTAAAAAAATTATGTGTAGTGTCACGACAGTTTTTCTGTAGCATGAGAAGGACTCTAGGAATACTATGATCATAAGTAACACCTTCTCACTTAACATATGTTCCCTCACGCATATATATATATATAAATAGAAAGCCCGGGGGATCATACGAAATGACCGCTGTTCTAGATATTATAAATTGCAATTAAAATGATTTGTGCAAAGATATCTGTTAATTCAAACTGAATTACCCATGGCAGGCGGCAAGGACACCCCTTTGCTTACTGCCCCACGGGGTTTCCCCTCCTACTCGCTTAATTGCTTAGAGTGCAATGAAGGAAACAACTAGCGGTACATTTCTTAAAAGCAACAGCTAGCTCAATAAATAAAGGTGATTTAAATAATAAAATGTTAATTCACATGTCAAAGATCTCTTTGTACACAACATTTCTTGTGTATATCTTTCCATCATTTTTAAGCTCGCTTTGCAGAGGACCATCAATTATTTTTAATTTTACATCCAGTCTTTCACGAACTCTTGAACAGGCAACATAAAGTTGATCGTGTCCAAATGCAGACTCAGGTAAAAAAATGCCAACATGCTTAAGCGTTTGGCCATGAGACTTATTGATGGTCATAGCAAAGGCAATATTTACAGGAAATTGTGTACGTCTCAACTGAAACGGCAACCTTGTGCCGTGGCAACTTCACCCCATTGACTTGTACAGTTATGCAAGCAACCAATAAACTATCGGTGACAAACAGACACTTAAGCCGCATATAATAAAGATATTTATTTATTTCAGTTTATTTGTTTTTTCATCGTTGTCGGTTTTTGCCGGTTGCCTATGTCCGAATTCTATTATAATAGAATTATTATATATATATAAATGTTAAATTTATTTATTAAATGTTAAATGCACGTGCTCATGTATTTTTAATTTTTCTGGCTTAGCTTTCTCATAACAATCGTCACGTGCTACACTGCATGGGGAATAAAACAATTTACAGTTACGCAAGGAATCGCAAGCAACCAATAAACTATCGGTGACAAACAGATGGTTAAATTTATTTATTAAATGTTAAATGCATGTGCTCTTGTATTTTTTATTTTTCCAGCTCAGCTTTCTCATAATATTCATCACGTGCTGCACTGCACGGGGAATAAAACAATTTACAATTATGCAAGCAATCAATAAACTATCGGCGACAAACACTTAAGCTGCATATATATAAGACTAGAACACCTGGCGATCATACGAAATGACCGCTGTTCTAGATATTATAAATTGTAATTAAAATGATTTGTGCAAAGGTGTCTGCTAATTTAAACTGAATTACCCAGGGCAGGCGTGAGGATGCCCCTTTGCTTACTGCCCCACGGGGTTCCTACCTTCCACTCGCTTAATTACTTAAAGTAGAGTGCAATGAAGGAATACACCGGCGGTACATTTCTTAAGAGCCACCGCTAGCACAATAAATAAAGGTGATTTTAAATAATAAAATGTTAATTCACATGTCAAAGATCTCTTTGTACACAACATTTCTTGTGTAGATCTTTCCATCATTTTTAAGCTCGCCTTGCAGAGGACCATCCATTATTTTATATTTTATGTCCGTTCTTTCACCAACTCTTGAACAGGCAACATAAAGTTGACCTTGTTCAAATGTAGGCTCAGGTAAAAAAATGCCAACACGCTTAAGCATTTGGTCATGGCCAACTACATGGTTTGGCCCTAAGACTTATGGATGGTCATAGCAAAGTCAAGTTTTACAGGAAATTGTCTACGTCTCAATTGAAACAGCAACCCTGTGCCATGGCAACTTCACCCCATTGGCTAATACTGTTACGCAAACAACCAATAAACTATGGACGACATATATATGGTGTGAAGTAACATTTTCTTCTCCGAAACGGCTGGCTCACGGGCTTAGCGAAGCACACCGTTGGATTCCACAGGTCTGTGGCACGCCATTTTGACCATTTGCATCTTCTTGGGACTTTAAATAGCCGAGATATTAATTAAAAACTAATTTTCCCCTACATTTTCCACTGTCTTTCTTGGGTGTTCCCTATTACAGTGATTTGGCTACATGGCAAATTCTTTTTTCTTGAATATCTACAGAACGGCGGCGAATTGAAATTCGAGACGCGTATCCTCGGATTCCAAAAAATTATCCGAATCCATCAATATCGTTCTCATCTTCGTATGACTTTAATCGGCCGAAATATGAATTAAAAACTGAGGAAACGTTAATTTCCGTGCTCATTTTTCCGAGTGGCAACAATAAACTATCGGCAACACACACTTTAGCCACTTATATACATATAAAAAGAAGTGTTGCAGGTTTGTAATAAACTGAATGCACAAGTCCGGTGAAAAGTGAATAAAATTTATTTTTATCACAATGAATAATAATAAAAAATACTGAGATTTCTTCAGCGATATTAGTACAGTATCACAATATCTGATAGTAGTTATATTTTAAACTACTAAAACGTTTTACAAAACACAATTCAAAGCAGAGATGTTTTTGTGTGGCGTTTATAAGGATGGAGGGTTAAAGTAGCTTAAACTAAATTGGCTAGTGTCACAGGCTATTCCAAGGGTATTTCAAAGCCAAGTTATGTGTTATACATCAAGTTAGCCTTCTGTCTACGAAATATGTAAAACCACCTCATTTCATACCCCTCTTAAAACAAACCCGGGCGACTGGTGCTTTCCGTTTGTTCATTCCCAAAAGGGAAATCTTTTTGTGTTAAGCAATTTTCATTTCGTGTTAAAAGAAAAAAAAAAAAAAAAAAAAAGCATGAAAACATATAACAGCTTGTCGGGACCGTGGTCTTATTTCGTATTAACCAATATTTCATCTTAAACATTTTCGCGTTAAACGTATTTAATTTATTATTATTATTATTATTTTATTATTATTTAAAAATATTCACTGTTAATATTTTTCAGGATGAGGAGTTTCACCATCAGAAAGCTAACGAAAAGGTAGCTAGGCAGTGACTCCTAAAAAGTTGAGAGACTGTAAAAATATAACTTTATCACCTATACAAGAATATATTCTTCCAAATGTTGTTGAAGAATCATGTCTTTCACTGCAGCAAACACAAACCTAATGTTCTCTGTATCTGAAAAATAAAAGAAACAAAATTATTATGTATACCCACTTTCTTATAAGTTTCAATATGCTTCTTTTAAATGTACTGAAAGATAAAGAATCCCGTTCATTCACAATAGTCAAAAGTCGTTAATCTGGACTTCAAAGCTACAAACTTTCGCATGCATAGGCGTTTACGCGTTCGCGTAATACCTTTAACATGCGCATAATGCGTGTCCATGCATGCGCGTAATACTTTTACGCAAGCGCATAATACGCTTACGCATGCGCGTTTAATGTATAACGGACGGTATAAGCTAAGCTAAAATTATCTAATTATCTATTTCAGTTAATGTTGCAAATTGCGTTGTTCCTTAATCTTTCGAATTAGATCCCGGCTTATTTATTTTTTGGCAGACTGTTTAGAGCAATTTGTTAAAAAATATAACTACTTTTATTATTTTTAAAACCTTTTACTTTTACATTTTACATCATCTCTCCTCCTTGAAAGTTTATTATAATGTAATATATGAGTTACTTCTATTTCTTTCTGACTGTTTACAGAGAACGGACTGTTTCAATTGAGATGCAAACGAAACGTGATGTTACGTCATCAATTCGTTAGCTGATTGGTTGGTGAGATGACATCTTTCCTACTTCTGCTATAGTATCTTCAACTTTGTACAAGGCTAAGTTGATAGGAAGTAACTATCATGTATTCCCAAAAATAGTGAAAAAGGGGGGCAAATCTGTAAAATTTGAGGCATCCACAGTTCAGCATAATAATAGTGAATTATAGCATGGTCGGTTTGGTCATATAAATTATGGTGCTATTGTCAGGACTAGTAGAGACATTCAGTTCGAGGTCTTCCTGTGTTAAAGCACTCACCTAATTTGTTTTGTGAACATTGCCAAATCAATAAGCAAAGACGAATCTCCTATAGACCCTTAGAAGGTATTCAAGTAAAGAGACCGCTTGAAAGGGTTTTTTTTTTCTCTGATGTATGGGGACCTATTAACATTCCAGGTAGGAATGGTGAACGTTATTTCGTTTCCTTTATTGACGAATATTCTCGTTATGTGGTAGTGTACCCCATTGTGGAGAAAAGTCAGGTGTTTGAAGTATTTGAAAGGCATATAGCACGTGCGGAAAGATCTTTGAACCTTAGATTGAAATACTTTAGGACTGACAATGGGCGAGAATATGATAATGATCAATTCAGGTCATATTGTAATAAAAATGGTGTAAAGCACGAATTTACAGATGTATATACTCCAGAACAGAATGGAGTTTGTGAGAGATTTAATCAGACAGCTCTCAACAATGTACGTGCAATCTTACACGATAGTGGAATGAGTTCCGAATTTTGGTCAGATGCAGTAATGTATTTTGCATATTCATTTAATAGAATTTGTCATAAGGGCCAAGATAGAACCCCATTCGAATTATACACTAAGCGGAAACCATCAGTACGTCATCCTTAAGGCATTTGGAACGATTGCCTATGTGGGAATTCCAAAGGCTAAAAGAAATTCTAAACTTGATCCAAAGGCAACGAAGGGCCGATTGATTGGGTACAGTGTACGAACAAAAGGGTACAAGATTTGGTTGGAAAATGAGCAAAAGGTAGTAGAAACCCTAAATGCTACTTTTAAAGAGTCAATTGGAATGCAGAAAAGTGGCAGTGGAGCTGCACTGGGCACCCTTCCTGATTTGGAATCTGAAGAAAGGGTAGAGTTCCAATCTACTGATACTCCCTCCAGTTGGCTATTTTCCTGAAATAGAGGAAAGAAAACCGATACCAATGTACCTTCTTCTACATTCTTCTACAATTGGCACTGACACTCAATCTACATTGAGACAAGTAACTTGGCTTCGTAAACCTGTTCCAAGGCCAGACGGCACTCGTACGGATGTGTATTATTTTGAGAGGGGGTCTAATCAAAGACTACGATCACCAAATGATGTAGAAAGGTATTGCACTGAACATAATATTCAGTATGATCCTACCTTGTTTGATTTCAAGGGAAGCAATACTTATAGTGGTGAAATCGACCCAACTGGTACTCCTTCAACGTCATATACCCGAGATAGCTGACTAGAGGTTTCAATTCCAAACACTTATAACCAGGCAATGAAATCCACAGAAAAGCTTAAATGGATAGAGGCAATGGAAGAGGAAATGGCCAACATGCGAAAGCATAAGGTATGGCATCTTGTTCCACTTCCTAAAGACAAGACTCCACTAGGTTGCAGGTGGATTTTCAACATTAAACGTGACGAATTTGGAAACATTGTTCGTTTTAAAGCTCGTTTAGTGGCTCAGGGTTATCGGCAAATTAAATACGATACCTATGATGAAACCTACTCTCGCCTGTAGTCAACTTTTCAGTAATAAGGCTCTTTTTCTCCCTTTTAGTTGCACATCTTGGATGGGCAAATATACAATGTGACGTAAAAAGTGCCTATCTCCACGCTCCTTTATCAGAGGAAATTTATATGTCCCAACCTCAGGGTTTTGTGGAGCGAGATAAAGAAACTTTTGTGTGTCGTTTAGATAGAGCCTTGTATGGTTTGCATCAGAGTGGGCGATTATGGTACTACGAGTTGGATAGAACACTATGTAACCTAGGGTTTATCAAGTTTGAGTGGTGTAATTGTGTCTATCGTTTTAAAGATTTTGTCATTCTGTTGGTTTATGTTGTTGATGATATAGTTGTGTTTGGGAAAAGTGAAGTTCAGGCCAAAAGGATATTAAAAGTCCTGAGTTCACATTTTGATTTGAAAATTTTGGGTAAAACAAGAAAGCTTCTGGGTGTGGAATTTGAATATGAGAACAATAGTGTTTTAATTCATCAGCAATTATATATAGAAGACATAGTTGATCGATTTTTTAAAAAATACAAATTACTTCCCTTCCAATAGTTAAAGGTGTGAAATACTCAAAGTCTCAAAGTCCCAGTACACAAGAAGAAACGACTGAAATGATGAATTATCCTTATAGAAATGTTTTGGGATGTCTCTCGTTTCTTTGCAATCGTACTCGTCCGTCCGGATATAGCTTATGCTGTTAATATATTTTCTCTCAGTTCCAAAGCAATCCTGGTAAGTTTCACTGGGAAGGATTACTTAAACTTTTAGGGTACGTTTCCAATACCAGACAGCACAAACTTAAACTGGTATGCAAGGAACTGAAGCTCAATATATATTCAGATTCGGATTTTGCTTCAAGCAGGGATGATATGGTGTCTATTGGTGGACAAATAGCTTTGTTGGGAGAATCACCTGTATCTTGGCGTACATTTAAAGAAAGGGGAGTGAGTTTGTCTACTATGGAGGCTGAATTTATCTCCATGACTGAATCAGCAAAAGAATTAGTTTGGATCCAAAAAATATTTTGGATGAATGCATTCAGTTTAAGAATTGCAAGTAACTATGTTTCAAGGCCAATATTGTTTGCTGATAACATGGCTGCTATATGTTTTACAAAATCACCCATTGAAAACTCAAGGACAAAACATATAGATGTGAAACTATTTTTCATTCGTGATCTATTGAACAGGGAAATTTTTGATTTAAAATATGTTCCCAAGTAAAGATAATCTGGCTGATCCCATGACAAAACCGCTGACTAAGCATAACCTGATAAGATTTTGTGGAACAATTTTCTTATGAAATTTGTTTTTGTGTGTATTTAAATTAAGAGTTTTGTTTATTTTTGAAACTAATATGTTATAAGTTATAAGTCATATTATGATGGATATTAGGTAAATGTAAAAACTGTATAGTGTAGAATGTTGTATGAGTGACCAGGGCCCTGGGTAAAAGTATTGAGTGTGTGATCATATATATGTCTTTGTATTGTTTTGTAACATGTTGGACTTTCTTGCTATGGTAAATTTTTTGAATAATGGGATAAGATGTTCCCAAAGGGAAAATTTTTTTTTAAAATTTTTTGAATTTCTGAATGAAATGTGATATTGATATTTATTTATTCTTGTTTTGAATTTTGTAAAGATACTGGCATTCAGTTTTTATTTCAGGTCGGAGATGATGATGTGGGGGGCATTTGTTGGAAAATATAGCTTATTGTTAAACCTTTTACTGCATCATCTCTCCTCCTTGAAATGTTTATTTAGTTTAGTTAATGTAATATATAGTTACTTCTACTTCTTTTTCTTGCTGCCACTGTTTTGCATTGAGAACGGACTGTTTCAACCTAATTGAGAGATGCAAAAAACGAAACGTGATGTTACGTCATCTGAAAAGCCGATTCGTGCGATAGCTGATTGGTTGCCGTGAGATGACGTCATTCCTACTTCTGCTATAAGTATCTCGCGCGTCGCTCTGGCTCAACCCTTCTAGTTCCTGCTTTCCTGGCACTTGAGTGAGCGGTTTTCCAGCCCCTTCAGAAGGATGCATGCAGTCCGGTGAATCTTTTGGTTCCGGTTTGCGGATGGCTGTTCCTGAATAAAGTTCCTTGGTGCCTGTCCGGGATGATTGTTTCGGAATGAGTTCCTTGGTTCATATCCATAAGATGGTTGTTCCAGAATAAAGTTCCTTGGTTCCAGAGGCTACCATGTGAGTGACTGCCGTGGGCGGCATCCATGTTCTTCAATGAAAGGCGGCATTTAAAATACGTGAGCGGCGATTCCTTGTGCAAACGGAGTTAGGCCGGTTTTAAGTGCTTTCAAGAACAAGAACTTCATTTAAAATTTTCAGGTGTTTTCTCAACCATTGATCATGGGACGTTTTGAATGTGTAGCCAACTTCATTTTTAGGCCGCATAATTAATGTTTTAGGACATTTTTGTTTGTATTGAATGCCAGTGTTTTAGTGTTTTGGAGACCAGGTAAAAATATTATTTGATGAATGATGGGTTATATTATATTTTTTCCTAAGACTCTGATATTGTTGAAATTTATTTTCTGTGTTTTTATTCTTTATTATATTGTTAATAAATTGGTTAAATTTGAAACCCTTTTTATTGTCTTCAATGTCTGCACAAACATATTATCTCAGGGAGCTTTTGTTGCTACTACTGCTAAATGTTTAATTTTATAAACTTCAAACTTTGCTTTAGCATCAAAATTTTATAAAAGTAAGCTTTTGATTATGTCAAATAAAATTTCAAAGGATCTACAAAGCGAAAGTATGCTTCAATGTCCATCGAATAAAAAGTGGAATTGCTGCAAAAAATGGATAAAGTCATATCCTTTGTTTCTTTAACCATTCCGAAATCTGTTTATCAATTTGACGCTGCTCTGCGCACGAGGGGGGGGACGTCTTGGCGCGCAATGAATTGGAAGTTGATCTGTCAGCACTATCCTTCTCTTCAGGGCAGATGTTTTTATTTTATTTGGCTTATAATTCCTTACTAAATGTAGTATTTCATCTCGATGTACTCCGTCTTTGATATGATTTAAATCAAATTCCTCGTCATTATAATTCGCTTCCGATAGTGAAGAAAGTGACACAGAGGTTATTGAAAACGAAAAAATTTCTAATGGCAAATTAGTCTGTATTCTTGACACAGCAATTATAGGATTTGAACAGCGGAGCTTTGTAACTGAACAAGAAATTATGCTTGTTTATAGAATTAAAGAGAAAGTATTATCAAATAAAATGAAGCAACTTAAACAACTTACATTGAAAGAAATGTTTAATAAAGTAAACAAATAAATATTAAGCCTTTTTTTTTTTTTTTTTTTAAATTTTGATACCCTTTAGATCATAATTGCTCTTTATTTCATAAATTACCGTTTCATATTTTTAATTTTATAATTTCTGCATGCCATCTTACCAGATTTAAACTGATGATTTATAATACGGAAAAATCGATAATCTGGAATCGCCGAAGTCCCAACGAGTCCGGATTAATGACTTTTGACTGTATAATACACAACAAGATATTTTAATAGTAAAAAACAGAAGCACTGCTTTTACACAACCTATATAATTATTAATTATATAATTAGCTTCAGATATTATAAATCATCAATCAGGGTTCGTAGCCACATTTTAGTTAAAAAAATAAGCACCTATAAGCACTTTTCAAGCACATTTTAAGGGAAAAAAAAGCACCTGTCTAATTACATTATACACAACTGCGTAACCTTAAAAGAAAAATTAGACTTGTAATTTAAAATTTGAGCAATGCAATATTTATTAAGAGAACGAGCATTACCTCAACCATGGAAAACAATTAATTTTTTTTTTAAATTTTAAATGACATTACAGTTCAATTTACAGAATTAGTTTACAATGAGGAAAAAAAAAAAAAAAAACTATGCAGAACTAAACTATATTACCAGATTTAGTGATGAAATTTCAGTTCAAAATATAGAAAATAAATAATAATAAGCCATATTAACTGTCTTTGTTTGGCACCTAATAATAAATACAATTTATTTTCCACTCATATTAATATTTAAATAATTTAACTTAAATCAAAATTCTGAACATTTTCTAAATTTTCATTGCATAAGAGTTTGCCCTTAACATATATTCCAAGCAAAGTAATTTAAGTAAAAAAGAGGCACATTTCTGAAATCAGAAGACGGGAAATTGCTTCATGTAGTCATCCTTTAACAGTAGAAGCTTAACTAACCCGCATACTCGGAAATTGCTGAATATTCTGGGTAGTAACTGGAAAAAGAGGAGTGGGGGAGATTGCAGCCGTTCTTTAACCTCCGTACTGTATAATGAATTGGTGGGGAAAATAAATTCTTTTGACTATTTGATTACTTTCCTTTTATTTAAGCCATTCTGAATATTATTCCTTAGAAAGCTAATCTGTGTAAAAACACACCCATTTTCTGGAAGTTTATCTATACTTCACCAGTTACTGCATCTATATTATAAATATTCATGCATATACTCAGAATATAAACATAACAATCATAATAAACACGAATATGAACTGACCGCGCGGAACGAGAATGCAAATTATTAAAATCTTGACAGAAATTCAAATGTGTGTAATATTTGGATGGGAGGAAAAGAATACTGAATTTTCTACTGTTTTCGCAATTCTTTGACCAATAGAACGACGTGCACCTGTCTGTACTCTCGCGCGCACCATAGGTTACGTTAATGCAGAGAAAGGGTAGAAAAGCAATTTCACGGAGTATGATTCACCATCTGACGTTGCATATAAGGAAGAAAAGTTGTTTATTTAGTTTTGGCTTTGGTACAGGGAAAAATGCATGTTCATTAAAAAAAAGGATTAAAAAAAGCACTAAAAGCACAAAATAAGCACTAAAAACAAAAAATAAGGGCTTTAAAGAAAAAGTAAGCACCTATAAGGGCCTTTATATTTTATTTTCAAATATAAGGACTTATAAGCACTTGTAAGGACTGCTACGAACCCTGTCAATGCATAAATAAAATTAAAGTTTCAAGTAATTTGAGTAATAGCTTGCAATATCTATTTAAATTCATAGACAGCAGAATCAGTATCAGTATTGACCTTGGTATGTATGAAAAATAATAGAATATCGCTCAGAACAATAGAACAGAATTTCAATTTGAAAACAATAGAATTTCCCTTACATTTACTTCCTTTATTTTAAACATTTTTCAAATGCTGATGCTCTTTTCCTTTATCAAATAATGTACAGCCTCAAAAAGTACAAAGTAATAAATCTCAGTAGTTCTTTCAGATTATATTAAAAGAAATCAAATTTATATTAAAAGAAAGGAAAGAAAAAAGAAAGCCATCTGACAGATTTAAAATTTCAACTTCTATATTATTTGCAGAGTTCCAATTTCCTTGTTTCATTATTTTCTAAAAAATCAATTCCTAAAAGCAAATGGTTAAAGCAGGAACAGTAAACAAAGCTGCAGTTTGAAAACAGAATGCAAATGCAACCACGTGATACAAAAGTTCTGAAATTTTTAACAACACTCCATTTCATTATCTTCTTTAAGCAAAATTTGATACTAAGCCCACCTTTACAGATTTACATCTTAAAAAGAAATTATGCATTCCACAACTAAAAGCTTGTATCAAAGGTAATATTTTTGGGTCAGTCAGAAAAGGAAGTTTGTTGGGAAGATTACTATCTGTGCAAGGAGTTGAGAGAGGAATGGTGTTATATAAAAATGAGAAGGATTCATATTTAAAGGCATTAATTACACTGATAACTGTTAATTTTTCCAAACTGTCTTTCATTCTTTCAAGTTGTTTTGAAGAAATGTTGTTTGAAGAAATTAAACATCGATACCCACATCTGCTCTTCCAGTAGGAAGGTGCACCTTCTCAATGGTATGTGAACATAATGCACTGAATGATGAATTCCCAGAAAGAGGACAGGTTATCAACGGCCACCTTAGCCACCTGACATTGCTTTTCTGGATTGCTTCCTGCAGAAGTATGTTAAGGACAGGAGGTCTTCTATAAAAGTCAGGAAGTGCTCCACTAAAATGATGATATTGGAAAAGCTCTATGAGCAAATTCAGAGCTGCAACCGAGATGCCACAGATGCTAAAGGATACCAGGAGAGAAATCAAGTATTGATTAGACATCCTTCCTCTGTGCAACTCGTGAAGCTCGTGTAGAAACAGTGTAATGGAATAAACAAAAATTTGTTTTTCTATTGATGCATGAATCTTCTTTATGTATTGAATATCTGTTGTATAATTTAAGATTAAATTTTACCCAACTTTAAATCATTTATATTTTAATCCAATTTATATTAAAAGAAAAAGAAAGCTATCTGATAGATCTAAAATTTCAACGTCTATATTATTTGCAGAATTCCAATTTCCTTGTTTCATTATTTTCTAAAAAATCAAGTCCTAAAAGCAAATGGTTAAAGCAAGAACAGAAAACTAAGCTGCAGTTTGAAAATAGAAATGCAAATGCAACCATGTGATACAAAAGTTTTGAAATTCTTAACAACACTCTTTTTCATTATTTTCTTTAAGCAAAATTTGATACTAAGCCCACCTTTACAGATTTACATCTTAAAAAGAAATTATGCATTCCCCGATTAAAAGCTTGTATCTGAGCTAATGTTTTTGGGTCAATCAGAAAAGGAAGCTTGTTGGAAAGGGTGCAAAGAGTTGAGAGAGGAATGGTGTTATATAGAAATGAGAAGAACGTATATTTAAAGGCATTAATTACACTGATAACTGTTAATTTTTCCAAACTGTCAGGCAAGATAGCATTCTTTCAAGCTGTTTTGAGTGAAATGTATCCTTAACTGAACGGAAAACCAAATAAATATTTTCAATATTTATGTGTATCTGACATAGTCAGCATGCAAACAAAAGTCATAAAATGAAATAAGATATAATTAAATTTAAAAAAAAATCAATTTATTACACATTATTAAATTAAATATAAATTGAAAAACAGTATTATAGCAATACCTCATACCAAAACCATCCATACAACTAAAATAAATAATGTCAAGTGTAATGCAACTACATTACTATCCAAATTAACCTGAACATATATTATAAAATCACTAGCATAAAAAATTTCACATGCAAAAGACAAAATAGCACACAATTAAGTTAAAACTAACCTGTTGCACATGTGAAATGAGAATAAACCCTTCGATCTGGAACATAATTTTGAGAAAGATACATTTTTAAAATGAATTCGCAGGCAGCTATATGATCTTGTTTAGGACCTATAATTTAAATCAATTTATTTTAGGATGATCCAATACTTTGGCATTTGAATGCTTTTAAAATTCTTTTAAACGGTTATGTTATAACCAATACCTCTAAAAGGGGAGAAAAAGTCATTAAACAGCACATAGCTTATTCAAAAACAATAACATTCTGAGAAAAGTTAGTTAAAATTTAAAAAAAAAAAAAAAAAAAAAAAAAAAAGCAAAAAATCTAGACAATTTAGATGTATTTTATGAAGTAACTGCTTTATAATGTAAGTAGACTGACAAAAATCAGACTTTTATGGACACAATTAATATACACAATAATTTGAAGAATAGGAATAACAGACTGCAATTAAATCATTTTAGCATTGTACCTGTTCTTTGGTTCTAAAATGCAGTTCCTAAATTATTAATTGAATTATTTAAAAATTCTCTTCATGAAACGAACTGGCCTTTTCTTTATAAAAGGTCTGAATGCAAGAAATATAACGTTTTAAACAATTTACCATTGGCAAAAAAAATTGCAATATCTTTAACCCCCTTCAAAATAATAATCCACTGAAGGCATGGCCATTAGTGTGAGCACGAGCTATATATCCATCAGAGATGTGGAACAATTTCTCTTAGATCATGGGGGTTGGAAATATTAAGCCTGAAGGTTTGACAATTTTTTCAGACATCTATACATTACCCTCTTTGGTTTGAGCTGTTACTAGGTATAGCTATCTTCTGAATCCCCGTGACAATTTTGGGAAATCTTTCTTTTTTCAAGAAATCTTTCAGAGCGATAAAAGATAAACCTTATTCTCCTCTTGTATATTTGTTTTTCAAGTTCTAGTTTTTACTCTAGTTATAGTGGATTAGAAGATATGAGAATGGTTGAATGTTTTCACACAGATATACAAATTTTTTGTTCGAACTAATATTATAAAATTTATGCAACACATGTGTGCTATGCGTATTTCTAGGTTGCCATATAAGTACTCTTTGCCAATGTCATGGGCTATCACATAAATAAGTTTTGCCTATGTGATGCATTGCCTCATCAGTGCCTTTTTGTAGCTTACAGGTGGGGCTGTAAAGTCTTTTCATTTTAAATGAGCATCGTGTAATATGTCAATAATTTCTGCTTTTTCTGAAAATTAATCTTTGATTTAGTTTGAAATTGAGGTACAACATATACATACAATAATATAATCAGAGGCATTTAGATTTAATTGATAGAAATTTCATAAATTTGGAGTAATATAGGTCTTTATACACTTATATGTAAGTAAAACAGCATCATTAACAGATTTCTTTTCAATGTAAATATGTAGCTAATTATTGAGTAATTCTCCTGTACTTCTTTGATATAGAAACAAGTGCAGTATATCTCTAGTATTGCAGTGCAAAAATAAAGATAAATTTAAGCAAACAAAGATTTTAAAGTCAGAGATAAATTAAAAATTAAGCATACAACAACTTTGCTGCAGGAAATGGTGTTGTATATATTATACAGTCAAAAGTCGTTAATCCGGACTCGTCGGGACCTCGGCGATTCCGGAGTATCGATTTTTCCGGATTATAGATCATCAGTTTAAATCTCTAAGATGGCAGAGAAATTATAAATTAAAATATGAAAACCGTTTATGATAAAGCACATATATCTAAAGGTATAAAATTTGCAAAAAAAAAGCTTAATATTTATTGTTTACTTTATTAACATTTCTTTCAATGAGTTGTTTAAGTGCTCGTTTCAGGAAATAATTTCTTTTAATCTATTAAACAGACATAATTCTTGTTTAGTTACAAAGTTAGATGTTCAAGTCTAGATGCTGTGTCGAGACACGACTAATTTGTCAATCGAATTTTTTCTTTCAATAACCTCTTTACTTTCTTCGCTATCGAAAGCGATTATAATGACGATTTGTTTAAATCATATCAAAGACGAGCACATCGAGATGAAATACTAATTTGTAGGAATTATAAGCCAAATAAAATAAAATCTTCCTGCGATAAGGATAGTTGCAATAAACTTCCAATTCATTCGGGCGCGTTCCCCGCGAGCGCGTAAACTGAAAACAGATTTTCGGATTTCAAAACATACTTCGATTTAGATCCTTGACATTAACAAATATATCTGGGAATTCTATTGATTATCGAGTTTAAGCTTATTTTATAAAATGCATTACAGTCTGCAAAATATAAGCCGGATCAATTCGAAATTAGGACAACGCAAAATCAAATAACTGAAATAGATATTAAATTTTTACTTATACGTCCATTATACAGAAAACGCGCACGCGAAACGTATATTCTGCACTTCGCACCTCATTGCGCAGTTGTAAAAGTTTAGCGCACGCGTAAACACCTATGCGCATTGTCAACGCGCGGGCCAGAAGTTTTAGTTTGAGGTCCGATATAGAACATTCCAGTTAGGGTGTCCGAATTAACGACTTTTGACTGTATTAGCTCTTTTTAGTTAATGACAGATCATAGTACTTTCTGAGTGTCTGCACCCCCATGAAAAATCGTCACATTTATCTTTGTGAAGTGGAGAACATTTGATTGGCTATCTTTATGCTAATAATTACTATTTTATGCTTGAATAATAATATGATTTAATTTTATGCTTGAATAATAATATGATTGATGATGCAACGTCACTAAAATGTCACAGCCATGTTACCAAAAAGTATCTATGTGGCAATACAGATACATCCAAGATGTACATGTGAATTTTCACTTTTGAAATTCAATGGCTATTTTTTCTGATTAATATTTCTTTTTTCATTTTTTTTTTACATTTATTTTTGAATAAATACTAACGAAACTGCAAATTTTGCCAACTGATGAAAAAGAAACTGTTGCATTTCTTCAGAAATACAGTGTTTTGTTCAACAATAGAGAATGCAGAAATTTGCATTTTATGAAGTTGAATTTTTTGACTGAATTTCATGGAAATATGGTGTGAAAAATTGCAAGCAAAGTGTTAGAATAAGGGATGGAAACTACTTTGAAGATAGCCGCATCTCATTTACTCCAACTGTTCGATTTATTTAGTATTGGGCAAAGGTAAAATAGTTCGAAAACGCCAGGCACTTCGTTGATAAATGTACGCTTACCTGGAGTGCAAGAGAGAAATATAGAAAGAATTTTAAGGAAGATTTTAAAGGGAACTATTAAAATTTGAACGATTTTGCAGAGACAATAATGAAAATTATAAATACGAACAAAGATAGAATTGGAATTCGGCATCGAGACTGAAATTTTGGACTTTTTTGGTTTTTTCTTATATATATATATATATTTTTTGTTTGTTCTTGGGCCAATAACCTTTTTTTTTTTTAATCATACGGCCGGCTAGAGCATCGGGGCTGTGCTCTTATAATGATAATGATAATGAGTTTTACTGTTGATCATGGAAGAATAATGGCCGCATCACTAATACTGGATGTACTCATATACACTCCATTTTTAAGTATTGCTCAGATAACTTGCAAAGATGGAACCCAACCATTTCTTGAAGAAAAAGAAAAGATTCAAGAAAAATAGATATGCCTTTGATAAGACCTCACCAAGTTTGATCGAACAATGATTCACAATCCCATTTCTATCCGAATTTTATGACTACCCATTCAAGTCCCATTTCTTCATATACTGACAACAAGACAACTACTCTTCTTTTACAATGCAGAGTAAAGAATTAATTTGAAAAATGATTAATTCAAAGAGAGTTAAAAACGCATGTGTTTTAAACATTGAATTTTATCTTCTAATTAATGACACCTCTTTTTTTTTTTTTTTTTAAGAAAAAAGAAAATTTGTTTTCCCCTGTATGTTTAGTTTTTATCCTGCATGAATTATACAGTAATCATCAATATACAATTTATTTATTTCCTCCTTTCAATATGTCTTTGTGGCGTAACTTGAAGCATACTCGATGCATGTTCGAGAGGTCTAGGGTTCGAGTCGCAGCGAGGTCACTGCGCATTTTTCATGTCTCCTGCTTCTAAATAACCAAATGATTCTACAAGCAGTACTTAAACTGAAAGGCGGTGGAAGATAATTGGTCAAGACCAGAATTGCTGGGTCTCCAGCCCTTTAAAAAGGGGGAAGTTATTAAGGTTTTTTCTCCCTTCTCTTGCACATGCCTTCATGGTGTAATTGGAAGCATACTAGACTCGAATTTGAGAGGTCTAGGGTTCAAATCCCTGTAGGGACATTGCAAATTTTTCATGGCTTCTACTTGAAAAAAATAATAATCAATCAATAACTCTGCAAATATTTCAGTTTTTAAATCATCACTTGTACCTGACTGGGTAGAAACTCAAGGAATTGGAAGAATTCCTGATGATCACACTTAACCCCTTCTTCCCACTAAGAACATCTTTTCAATTAACTAAAATACAAGTAAATATGACTTGCATCATTTGGGTTAATATGTCTTCAAACCTTTTATAGTAGGAAGTGGGTCTCTGGAACAGTAAAATTTATTTTTTTATTTTATTTTAATTTATTTATTTTTAATATTTTATTTATTTTAATTAATTTATTTATTTTGCAAAGCAACATGCTCTTAGTCACAATAAATGCATTTCTAAACTCGAGTCATTTTACCGATATGAATGGCTAAAGATATTGCACATGTAAGAAGCTGGATAAGCATGTAAGAAGCTCTTAGTAAGCTGGATGCTATCTTTTTGTTCCAACAATAAAAACAGCAACAAGACATTCTTAAGTTTCCAAATATACTTTTTTTTTCAGGGACACAATCTTTTGGGGGAATTTTGGTCTACGATCTTGAATCCTGCAACTAATTTAGCCAGTCTATGACTATAATTGTTACTTTCTATTGGCAGTTTTACCTACTTTTTTATGGACAAAATATTACTCATAAAATGTTTTCCATAAATTAATTTTGGCTTTAAAAATTACTGTTCATATAAATGAATAAAGAATTTAAGAAAACAATGTTAATTAAATATGTGAGAATTAAACATTAGTTATTGATTAATGCATTAACTTTTCTAGATATTTTATTTCCCTCCTTTTTTTTTATTTTTTTAAATATATTTCAGAAAATAAGGACACGTACAACTGAATAATTTCTTGTTGAAAGCTGATCTCTTGAAAAGGACCATTAGCTTAAAACAAAATGCAGTATTTATTCAGTAATACAGATTGAAAAC